CATTGCAATGGGAATGCTGGGCCAAAAGAGTTCAGGCACCCAAACAGGAAAGCACAGATCTTTGCAACCATCACTGCTCATGCCAGAGTTTGAAAAGCCTCTGGCAAGATCTCCAAATTGCCAGATAGACAATTAGTGACCAGCTCTGCAAACAGTGCTGTGTCCATTGCACTCCACAGGGCAAGGCAGCAGCGCCCTTTGCTGACACAGAAATAATACTTTCCATATTACTTCTGCTCTTTGAACGTAACCCAGTGCATGTGAGCTGCTCTGTGCAGACAGATGCTAATTCATCTCACACATTGCCTTCTGGGCTGTTTAACTTCACGCTGCTCTGTGAGATTCCAAGATCTCAGGTGCTGAACTTCACCCCTAACACACTCACATAAGGGTATAGAAAAAAAGAATAGAAAACAACACTGGCCTCTTTTACCCCTTTTTACATCCAAATGGAACCCAGTAGATTGAAATTTGTGGTCCACATTCCAAGCTTTTGGGTTCTCTGCCAGGAGTAGCATCACTCTGTGTACTGATGCTAAGCCACTCTGTTCTGCCTGGCTGGGCTTAAGGAGATTCATGAGCACCATGAAGTGTCGTTAGCAAAGAACTGCACTGAAATAAGGACAGAACTGGGTGTGTGGATGGTTCGTTTTTTTAGTGCTGTTAAACATCTTAGGCTGAACCCAGACTTTATTGCTTTGTCACACACACACACAAAAAAAGATTGCAGATAATGAGCTAATAACACTTCACTTTCCCAGCCTGCCTTGCATCTTCAAAGCACTCCATGAGAACAAACTAATTAACTGTCCAGAGAAGAAGCTCATGACTAAGAGCTGAGAAGCCATGTGAGTCAACCCACTTGCAACAGGTCTTTGCAGATTTCAGTAAAAATTCATTTTGGAGGAAGATCTGTTGACTGGCCCGACTGGTCACACCAATCCCCAGCCACATTCCAGGGCTGTGAGTGCTGCGAATGGACCCAGCCCGGAGAAGACCCACTGACATCAAAAGAGCAACACCTCGGCAGGAATGCCCCAAAACCAACCGTGTGGCTTCCTCCTCCTCATCTGTGTGTGTGTGTGCAGCCGGTGTGCACTAAAAGTGCTGAGCTAACAGTCCCTCTGCACATCCACCAAACAAGGGCGCATCCTGCTCGGCACTGTTGGCCAAACTGCCTTTTTCTGCTGTCTTGAGAGCAATTATTTGGGAACAACAGCCCATACCAGGGTCTTTTAATGGAGATGTAGCCTTGGTTGCAATCGACTTAGCGTGGCACTGGAGCAGCATTCAGTCCCAACTTTCTTATTCCTTACTTTTGGCAAATCATTAAGCACCCACAAGAATGTGACTTCTGCAGGTCGCTGGCTTTTGGGGAATGTGGGACACATTAAGCAAAACAGAGATGAGGACATCGTTTTTTTCTTCTGTGGGTAAGTGAACTCAGAGACCCAGCCCTACAGCAATAATGTAGACATTTCAGGCCAAGAATTTTGGCTTGGAAACTACTGCATGCTCCATAAATCTCTACCAGGAAGTATCCCTGGTCTGCCTCTGGGGCAGAACCTCAAAAGGGAGGACAAAATTAAACCCAGTTTCCCCAGATCTGTTTTGTCTGAGGCATTAGAAATCCTGCTTCAAAACTGCTAAATTCATCACTGGATCCAGGTGCCTTCAAGTGACCTCTTGGTGCAGCTGTCACCCTCACGTCCCTGGGGCAGGCGGCCACGTGCTTTCCATAGGATCACAGAATCCTTAAGGTTGGAAAAGACTTCCGAGATCCCAACCCCAACCCATCCCACCTTGCCCACCAACCACATCCCTCAGTGCCACATCTCTGCAGTTCTGAACCTCTCCAGGGACAGTGACTGCACCACCTCCCCGTGCAGCTCTGCTTCGCATCACCACTTCTCCTGAGAGGGAATTTTTCCTAATATCCAAGCTGAGCACCAGGACAGATTTACAAAACTTCTGTCCCAGCACATAGAAAAAAAACAATCAATGGAGATGCTTTGTGCCCACAAGAGTCCACGTCTACATGAAACATCTGGGTTGGGTTTGTGCTGCACGCACAGATGGGACTTGTAGCAGACAGCAGCTGCTCCCTTTGCTCCTCACCTGCTTGATGGACAGAGGCTTTTGGGAATTCTGCATCATTTTTCCTTTTTCCAAAAGAGAAATGCTTCTTTCTGGGTTTATCAGTTCATGTGCAAGGAGCTGCCACAGCCCAAGGGGCTGCAACTGGGACTTCTCCACCGCTGCAAAGAGATGCCAGCAATTCCCCAAATCCCTCGGTCACTCTTGCTTTGCAGTGATGATGTTTGGATGGTTGCCTGGTTTTATGATCTTTAAGGACCCTTCCAACCCAACCATTCTATGGTCCTATGGTATTTATTGTCTTAAAGGTCCCTCCCAACCCAACTGTTCTGTGTGTCTGTGATCTTTAAGGTCCCTTCCAACCCAGCCATTCTATGGGTCTATGATACTATACTCAGGTGATGCTGAGATCTCCTTCACACTGTTGCACCAACCCTGTTGAACAGGAGCTCTTGATGCAGCCAATCAGCCCCTGTCCTCCCAGCAGGGCCCATGGGCATCTCACCCAGCACCCCAAAATTCTTCTCATTCTCTGCCAGCATCATTCTGTTTGTAATTCTTTGTAATGCCCTGGGTGGAAAACATCTCAAAGCTAAATGTTCGCTTGCCAAAATATGTTGTTCCAAAGAAACTGGCAGAATTTGAGAACTGCAGAATGTAATTGATATCCATGTTCTGCCTGTTTTATTATGAGGTGTGGCATGGCACACGGCCAACAGGCTGACATTGCAGCCCTGCAACACTGCCTGAAAAGTGACAATTACCGCTCTATTTCAACAGATAATCACCAACATCTGGTTCATCACAGGAGATCAAAGTGCTGCCCTGGATCAAAGCGTTCTGTCTTTGTCATGATATCAAGGTTTGATTTATGGCTCTGCAAAGGCACAACTCTATTTATTTACGTTTGCAGATAAAGGGCTCGCGGCGCTTCCAAAACCAGCAGAGCACCACTTGTAGGGCAACGCCATCGATTCGTGTGGCGCGGGGAGCATCCCCCAATGTCATGTGCAGGGAGCACTGAGCTCTGATGGGGTAAAAAACAGGGCTCAGAGCTCCAGATCAGGGCAAGCAGTGCAGCGTTTCCAATGCCAGCCATGAACCTTATGGATCCAACGCTGGGCCCCCACTGCGTCTCAGATCTCAGTGTCCCTGCCAGTGGTTGCTGCCTGCACCAAAGAAGAGCATGGTTTACACCCAGGACTTCAGCTGAAAGCTGGGCATGAGAGCACATGCAAAAGCAGTGATTCAGATATCACTGGGAAGCTTATTTTACTTCCACTAAGCACCAATAAAAAGCTGCTTCCATGCAACAGCTAAAGCTTCTTCCTTTCCATCACAGATCATGGTTGCTTGCTTTGTCAGCAGGACAGTGTCTCACAGATGTGGGTCATTGCATAGATGCTAAACTGTGCTTACGGCGCATTAAAGTCCTCATCGATGATTTAACACATCTGTGGGATCAGCATAAGCCATGGGTGAGTTTATCCAGCTAAAACAATTAACTGATACCTATGAATTAGCTGTACAAGCAGTGCTTTACAGCACTGAGATGTTAATTGAAACTTCAGGCTTTATAGGACGTTTAAAAGCAGCCATAAGAAACTTGGAAATGTCAGATACTTGCACAACTTGCAAAACTCCGTTTTGGAGCCTCCTCCAGAATGAACCAGCCCAGTTCCCTCTCCCCACAAGACCCCATAGTGTTCCAGACCCCCCCCGGGGCACGCTCCAGGGCTTCCATGCCTTTCCTGCAGTAAGTGACTGGGGAAGGACAAAGCTCTCTGCCCTCGTACTGCGCTCCAGAGGATGTTCATGCTTTGACTTCACATCCAGAAGTCCCATGTCCCATGCAGGCACTGGGATCACAGAGCAGTACTGCAGGACATCAGCACACTGCGAAGTCCCAGCGGCACAGCACCAAGTTCTCTCCACACCCCTCCAATGTCTGCTCTCGAGGTTCCCTCGCTCCCATCCTACAGCAGCACAAAGCCAAGACTCATCCACTTGCAAAACACCCCTTGCGCACGGCAGGATGGTGACAGCATGCCCAGACATCACTCACCAACACACAACACCTTGGCACAACACGCTGCGCCCATGCAACCATCACACAGCCCGTGCAGCACGCAAAACCCCAAAGAAAACCCCGGGTTGTTGCACTGTGCCTCAGGGGACACCAGCATCCCGCACCACACTCCACCATGCCCACAGGTGGTGGGACACGGGTGGGAGATGGCAAAGGGCTGGGTGCTGACTCAGGGTGCAGGGAGGTGCCGGGCAGGGAGGAGGGTGCCGGTTTCGGCCCCGGCGCAGGGAGCCAGGCTGGCGAGGGGCCAGAGTGCTGCTGGGACAGGCTGTGCTGTGGCAAACAGGGAGTGCCGCCGTGCCGTGCCCAGACCCTGGGCGCTGCCGCCCACAGGGACGGGCAGAGAGGCAGTGCTTCTGTGCAGCACCAGGCATGGCCCTGCCTCTGCACGAGGGTTTGGAGGATCGATTGTTCGGAGCTTGGGGTGATGCTGCCTCTGAAGGGACGTGCATCAAGGCAGGTTGGAAATGGCCCTGGTTGGGTCTTCACTCGGCTGCCCTCTGGGGACACGAAGCCTGCGAAGATCCACCATTCCATGCATCCTTCCCCATCGCTCTGGGAGAAGCCTCACGGCTCAGGTGCTGCTGAGTGACAGCAGGGGACAGCTTGCCTCTGCTTGTGATGGGTCTTCTGCTGGCCCACACGCCACCAGAAGCTCCTGGGGAGAGCACACATTTCAGAAGGCTCCAGGTGGAGCTGCATCCCCTGGTGCTCTGACAGTGGGCTCAGCTGAGCGCTGCTGGGACAATCTGCCATGCACTTCCTCCTGGTTCCCAGCGGACACAACACCCACACCCCCTCACTCCTCTCTTTATTTACACAACATCACGTGGGGGTGTGGAGATGAGAATCAGCAAGCACCTCGCTGAGCACCTGCCCACCGCAGCAGCATGGAGCCTGCAGCAAGCTCTGTACAGGCAGCACACGATGGGGCAGCAGTGGAGCCCTGGCATGGGCTGAGCGCACAGCACTGTGTCTGATGGCTGAGCCTCACCTCTGCCTTCAGAGCCATCTACTTCCACCGGCCACCCACCATGGTCTTCCCACGGGCAGCCTTTGACCTAGATGGGAAGCAGAGCAGCAGGAAAAAGGTGTTAATGGAAATGAAAAGAGGAGAGAGATGGGTACTACTTGGATCATCCTCAAAAGAGGACGAAATTATTGCTGGTTGATGCTTGCAAGGAAAATCTTCAGCAGCACCTTCCCTAATGTGGGGGCTGAGCCAGTCGGTGGGTTTGGGACTCTTCAGGAACAAGCTCATGTGTTCTACCACGTGTTTCCAACCGGCCCCCATGGCCTCATTATGCTCCTCCCTCCCAGTGACCATAAATAAAGGACCTCCAGCTGTAGGGGTTTAGTGATTGTAGGATCCCTCTTCTGGGGCTGAGAAGCTGGGACTGGCTGCACTGAGCTGCTTATCCAGAACTGGGGGAACAGGTGCTCTGTGCATGTGCCAGCAGGGAGGTGGAGGAGGAGGTGATGGTGGTGGTGGCTTGGACAGTCAGCAATGGGCATTTTGGGCATCCTGAGAGTCACCAACCCTGCTCTGACACCATTTCCCAGAACGGTCCTTCCCCCAGCCCTAATTCTGGTGCAAGGTCAGCCCCAGGTGTCCGTGCAGCACAGATGTGGTGGGAGGCATGCAGCCTGTACTTACCCTTTGCTGCAGCACCAGGCCACGGGAGGGCAGAAGAGAAGAGAGATTTGGTGTAAGTGGGGGAAATGCTGCTAACTGGAGGGAAGGCTAGGAACAGCTCATGCAGGATGGGACAGGGGAATGAGAGCAACACAGTGCTCCTGGGAGAACAGGTTAAATGCCACTTCCGCCCTAGGTCCCCAGTGCTGTGCAAGGGATGTGTGGGCCAGCTCCCATGT